CAATGGGAATATTTTTTCCAATACAATTATCACAGCATGTTTTTAATCTTTCACATGTCTGTTTTCTGGATTGTATCTGATCTTTGTCCCATACTGTAGATTCATTTTTATGTAGCTAGCGGAACCCCCATTCAGAGTCTACATACAGTATGACACTGTTACAACATTCATTTAAGGCTTCTGGTGCTAAGACATACATACATATTTAGAATACTTGTCAAAGTACATGACTGTCGAACGGGGTTAGAGCTACGATTAGGTAGCAATTCTGGGAGAATGGCAACAAGGGTTATGAGTGCTATGATAACAGCTTCTGTAATCTCTCAACAAGTATGATGAAGGTTCAATGCACTTTACAAAACCCTGTACTCAAAGTGTTATTTTTTTGCTATCTATAAAATCATCACCTCCTCACAAGGCTTCATTGAGCAACATCATGAGCAACTTTTGTTCATGATTTTGAAAGGGCGAAGAGACAGTGTTTTCTGTTGTATATACTCCATTTCATGCGAAGAATACTTAAAATCAGTACCATCTGAACAGTGACTTAGACCTTCAAGTTTTCTGTTTTTTAAATGAACTAAAACTGCTCAGGAACAAGTAATAGGTTTATTCCATGCTGAAAAAAAGAAGAAAGAGAACACAACGTTTCGGCCGTGGAGCCTTCTTCAGGTGTCAGTAAAACCCACTAAAACTGCTCAGTTTTATACACAGCAAAGGTATCCGATTTTATCCCAAACAGTTGCTTAGCTCTTCCTCATCTCAGAATTACATATTACTGTCACCTCCTCATAGCTCAGTGAAGTGTTTTCTATTCTGGCAGCTTGCCGACTATCAATGTATACATCTTCATTGTCTCTGCAGCACTGTACTCAACTCGCCTGCTGCTGTTTTAATTAAATCCGCAGGACCTGTGCTTCCATTCCTCTGCTCACATTGCCTTCTAAGCCAAGAATTTTTTTTTTATAATGAAATGTCTCAAGCAACACGCGGGACTCACAATTCTACATACTGTGGGCACGCAAAATTACAGTGGCAACAGCAGTGCTTCTTAATCACATGCTCAGATAAACGCATCCTTTCCAGATTAGCTGTAACAATGTGCAAATCATAGCTTCAGACATGAATAGGCACAATAATTTCTCCGAGTTCATTTGACTTTTTTTTTTAAAAACAAGATGTTTTTTTTCCGGCCTCACCTCCAGCTGCTTGAAGCCACAGTTCATTGATTAGCACAGCTCTCCAACCAAACAGCAAACCACTGCACCAATCTAGAACTAATTGTGTTTGCAGTGAGAGCATTACGGCAACTACAATCTTTTTACACGGTGCCCTTAATTAAACGCTATGCTTAAATAGATGCAAGTATAAGCAATTGATTTCCTTTTGCTTTTGAGTAGTTAAAAGAATAGTTTAACAGGGAGAGAACATAAAAGAACACGTGATTTTCCATGTTTCCATGTTAGAGAAGGGCCACTGGCTGAAGAGAAGCACTGTAGCAACATTGAGAAGCGAAGCAAAGCATGTTGGCACATACCTGTGAGGGAACCTTGTGAAGACCTTCCCTATAAAGTACAGGGCTTATCAAAAGTAGCCCGTCCCCGTCCCCGTCCCCAGATTTTTTCCACATTCTGCAGTGTTAGAATGTGACATCATAACGTATTTAAATGGGAGTTTCTGCCATCGAGAGACACAAAACCCTCACACACACACACACATTGATAGAAGCACACAAAATGTTGCAACACTCTATGGATCCTCTTACATTGATAATATCTAGAAAATAGAAAATGACTGACTTAATATGTATCCTGCCCCCGTTGACTTAATACAAGGTGGCTCTACTCTTTGGTACAGCCACCTTTGGCAGAAATTACACCCATGAGTTTTGTTGGAAAGTCTCTACCAGCCTTGCATATCTATATTCGGCATTTTTTGCCCATTCTTCTCTGCAAAAATTGCTTAACCTCCCTCAGGTTGGATGGGGACAATTGGTGAACAGCAATTTTTCAGTTTCTCAATTGGATATACTGTATATGTAACATACAGTATATTGTAGTATGTACAGTAACACAACAAAATGTGAAGAAGTGCAAGGGAGGTGAACTCTTTTGATAGTCATTGTATGTGAGCTATAGACCATTTTCATTATTCATTACAACTGTGCCATCATCTTTGAAAACTATTTATGGGTCAGATTGCAATAAACAATACATGCTGAAAACCCACTCTCAATTCCATTGTATCTGGGGCAGGCGAAGAGTTGACGAACATGGCTCTTTAAAATGTAAAAGTTCGGCATTTGTGAGGTGATGCAATCATTGAACAGTTTCAATGGAAGCGCTAGTGTAAATTGTGACACAGAATGAGGTAAAACTCCTGTGGTATCATTCAATCAATGACTTGAATTGCAGCCATTCTGTAAGGCACAGGGGAGAGATAGCTTACTGTGTCAATCCACTCTAAGATGTTTGCTCCCAATAACTCTCAACCTTGGGCCTGCAGTCTGAACTCTGAATGCCTTCAAGCCAAAGTCTGTGTTACTGTGGGGAAGTCCCCAAAGCAGGCTGACATCGCTCTGCTTCAGGCTAAGCAATCTGTTCAAGTAGGTAGAAGGGAGCTTAGATTCACACTCCAAGTGTACATTTTGTGTCCCAGATGCAATTTGTTTTATGTCAATTTCCAGCTCACAAAGATTCTCTTGCTCAGAATGGCCCTGAAAAACTAAAAAAATGACTATTGATTAAAACGGATTGATTAAAATAGTCCTTTTCTAAAAAACAAAACACCTTTACTTTTACACTGTAGAAAGCACAAGGACAGTGAAATTGACTTTCCTACTCCTTTCCAAGTACTTTAGATGCATCACATATATTTAACTGTATTTAAGCACAATGAAATTTATTTTCACAATTGGTTGTTTGGTTTCTTCTACATTGACCTAAAATCGGATGGTTATAAATAAAATGTTTTGTGATTTAAATCTGTGGTTACAAATACGTTCTACTACTTCAAGAACAGTTAGCTTAATGAATACCGTGCATGCTGAGGATTCTAAGTGCCCTTTCTCAGAGCTAAAAGGCTTCATTCAATTGTTCCTTTTATTACACAACAAATAAGAATATACAGCAAACTCATTAATATTGAGCCCTTGCATTATATAGCACTTTTCATCCCAAAGGATCCCGTAACGTTTCAATATATAGGAGGGGACTCACTTTCTCAGTCACTGAAGTGTTACACCCATTTGGATCACCTATCTAGGTGACAGCCCCACTGCACAGCAGTTTAATTCACTGTCTGAATTAAGAAAGAACTTTAGTTATCGAGGCCACGACTCTTGTAAACAATGCTATGGAGTCATTAATGACCACGTAGTCAGGACCTGGGTTTAACGTCACCCCCTACAGTAGAGTGACCCTGGTCACCATTCGGGAATACTGGATAGGAAATTCTGGTCCAGAAAGAAGAGCAGCACCTACTGGTCCACCAACAGTACTTTTGGAAGCAACCTGATTTTCCTTGGAGGTCTCCCGTCCCTGTAATAACCCTACCCAACTTAGTTTCTGCTATCTGTTGAAGTTTTTCCACCAAAAAAAAACAGAAGAGACAGTTAGACAGAAGAGACTGGTGGTAGTGTCATCTTTTAGGACATTTCTTATTTCTAGTCTTCTAAATTGACAGCTCAGGCTATTGAAAAGAGTTTGGACTTCAGGTCTCCAAATCTTCCAAAACCATGACAAACTCTCCATTGTCCCTTTATAGGCTGTACAGTATATGGGGTCTTCTCCATCATACTACAGGAAAAAAGCAGCAGTTTCTCTCCAGTACAGATCTGCAGCATCTTGATTTTTGTCTTAAAATGTGCTGCCTAAACTCTAACATCATTCTAATTTAGAGGTTATGCGAGTACCCAGTGCCAGGGGTGAATAGTACATCAGGATGAATACAGAGCTGTTTTTAAGGCCCCCAGGGCAAAAAAAAAACACAGTGCTGTGTAGTGGCTGTAAGACCAACAGTTTCTGTTAGCCTCAAACGCCATGAAAATTGTGTCAGCCAAGGATAAGTCTGCCTCAGATTCAGCTCTAGAGGCTTAGTGAGGTAATTTTCATCCCGTGCTTCAGTGCACAACAAACTACGTTTCCTTCAATACTGTGCCCTTACTGTATGTGAATGGATGTTCACAGCAGACTTGACTTGAAATACGACCTTTTCTCACCACTAAGTCATGTTCTTGTACTGCAGGTGCTTTATTCCAAAGTACAGGAGACCAGCAAACTTCCTCCACTTCCTGGTCTCCAGAGGTGAATTCATAGGGGATTCCACCCCACTGACAGGGAAAATAGTTACAAGGGATTGATATTTCCTTTTCAAACCGAGATTCCTAGTATCCGATGTCAAGTAGATGAGTAAAACAAAAAAAAATCTCAATGCCTTCCATTCTTTACATCTACAGCACTGTTACCAGACAGAAGTTTCTTCTGGCACACGAGCAGTTCTGAAAACGCACGCCCTGAGAGGTGAAGCCCAGTGTGACTGAGGAGGATACGTGCTCCATTATATCTGCTGTTGAAAAAAAAAGGGGGTGATGTGTATTCGAAAAAAAATAAAATCACAATCACAAGACGGACACATAGGCTGGCTCTTCCCGATATCTACACACCGTGGGCGAGGGGGTTAATGAGAGATTAATGCTGGCAATAATATTGCTTTTGTAAGAAACAGTAGCACTGGATTAGCAGAACAACTAGCTGGATCTTTCCCTGAGAAGCGGCGCGTACCACTGAGATGCAGGGACCTCCTTTCCTATGCTGCTGGAGGAAAAAAAAAAGCCTACAGTAGGAGGGTCTGACGGCTCTCATTCAGACACATACACTCTCTCTCTCCCCCCCCCCCCCTGCCCACCCTGCTTGACGAATGGTATGAGCCATTAGCAAGCCCATCTCTATAAGGGGGGGTGGGGGGGGGTGGGCTCTGCTTCTGCTAAGAAGCTACTTTATTCTCATATAAACACATTCACAGATGTGTCTCCATGCATGGTGTCCCTTTCCCCCTGTTACGACAGCCAGCTTCAGCTTAGCGCAGACACAGACTGGGGCACAACAAAGCCAAAAGGCACGGAAAAGAAGAAGAATTCCTGGTGGGCTCTGCTTTTCTGTTTTGTTTTGCTTTGTTTTTTTTTTTTCCCTTTACACAGACACACACACATATGCATGTGTTAACTGCAAAGGAGAAAATAAAATAAGCTAAGGAAGAATTCGTTCGCTGGCTGCTGCTGTTGGTCCAGAGCTGGGGACTTGAATCCGGCTGTCAGCTGCCCGGGAGATGAAATGAAAGGATGCTTTGAATGCTGCCCCTGTTTCTCGGGGTGGGGGGGGGGCAGGAGAGAAAGAAGCCAAAAAAAATAGGATTCGGGAATGAATGGGAGTCCTCACGCAGGATGTGGTGGGAATAGCCGACTATCTGAAGTCTCCAAGTAAGGTAAACCTCTTTTATTTTAATTTGCATGGAAGCAGGCTGTTTTATATTCTGTGGCTACAGTGCTCTCTTAAAGAGGGAATGCCATACAACTGCAACAAGCCTGCAACAGTAGATTTGTTGTTCAAGCATTGTTTCACAGTATCTGCATTCATGTGAGTGTCTGATAGCATACGCATGGCAGGGACAGATGTGTGCCTCTCTCTTACACCTTCCAAAAGAGGAGCAGCATTGTTCATGTGCAGTGGAATGAAGCGATGAGTGTGGCTGCGTGCAAGGTCCTGAGGACACAAGGTGTTCTCATTAGATAGGTGTGCAGACACTGCTGCATTTTCATAAAGCGTGGCAGGGAACGCAGAAGCACAACGGCTCATACTGGCACCAGTCACCCCCGGCTCCGCGAGAGAGGCAGCAGTCTGTTTTGTCATTCGGAAGAAGGCGAAGTGTGCCTTCGGTGTGTCTGGAGTTGGTTTTGTGAGGAAGATGATTCGAGGCGAGCAGGGCTGGACAGGCGTGAAACAGCGGAGACGTGTTTTCTCTTCGTGATTCTTACATTTTCTAAACGCACTTAAACAGAGGGGTTTGCCTGTAGCCGGTGTCGTCAGGCTGGCCTTCGGCAATCACCACAGATGCTCCACCTGGAAAGCCCTCATAATGACCGAAAAGAAATTATTTCTCAAATGACAACGAAGCTCACCTGAGCGCCTCTTGAATTAATCGTTTCACTGAAACAGTCTTTTGCGCGTACACGTTCAGCTGCTCAACTCCGCAAACTCTTTCTGCAGGAGTCTGTTGGCAACGATTTTTTCTTTCACACAAAATACAGCTTTGGTGAGTGGACGGAGTGACCTTAATGTGGTCCTCGCTCTTGTACCAAGATGCCAGGCTGCCTTGCCCCTTCACCAGAGTATTCAGAAGTCACTGCTCTGAGTTGGCTGTATCCTTCCCAACAGCCTAGATGTTTTGACCCCTTTCAAGATTAATCCTGGCATATTAAGTGTGTTCTCATTAGAGGCTTAGCACAAATAAATAGCAACATAAAACCACTTCCCCAGATTTGGATGATGTGAAAAGAAGTTCACTAGTTTCATAAAACATATGCCCCCAGCTAAGCAAGGCGAAAGACGGGACAACTTTAGGGATTGTGCTAATTAATGAGCCAGTGGCAAGATAAATGAGCTGGACCGCTCTCATATTAATACAAAAATATTTCAGATTGCCGCCGAACATTAATCTTGCTCCATTCCATAGCTCATCTTATAAATCACTAAATTAAAGCTTGAATCCTACTCTGGGGCATTATTGTAAAGCTATTAAGAGAGTTGCTTTCCAGTCTCCTTGGAAAATGCAGTGTGTACATTCTGTAATTAAACAGGTCTAGAACATGGTGTTGGTGCAGATAAGTGTGTCCGAGATTATAAAATAATTTTGTTCTAAAGTACATAAACGATTTTTTGTCCCTTTTGTGTTCTCGTTCTGGGAGGTAAGGCTTTGAAGTTTGTTTCAGAAGCTACTGGGCAGGCTGTATGGTAGGCTATTCACATCTCTGACCTGAGCACATCCACAGAGTGCTGGAGATGCAGCAGTATACATCATTCTGGCCTATATTAAACGCAATAATACTATATTGTTACCAATACCAATTACTATATCGTTCCTCTAACGGTATGCCAAAAATTAATGTTAGAGGAATATCAAAATAACTGTGAAAACAATGCAAATTTCACACCTGTACGCAATTCTTAATAAACACTGCTTGACGCCTCTTTTCCACAATGTTTCCTCTTCTCTTTTCTAACGGTGTTATTTTGGGTGCTGCCCTTTGATATACTCTTCTTTCATTCCTCTTTCACTTGCCAAAACACGCCAAAGAAATATAAATCTTTAGTTTTGTGTGGAGCAAGCCCGCAATGAGAAAAAAGTAAACCTTGTGCGTGCTGGTGCATCTCTGATGTTGTAAGGCTGATTTGTCTTTGAGTTTGTAAGGCAGATTTGGTATGGAAACACTGTACTCCTTTCTTGATTTGATCAGAAATTAGGTACAGTATGTTCTCGCTGATGCTACTGCAACACCTAATTCTCTTTTATTATTTCTTTCCTTGATACCTATGGATAACGTAAATGAGAGTGGCAAAAGCTTTTCCCAGCTGCAATGTTGCTGTGCCCTTTTGCTGTTGCTGTAAACCCAACACAAGAATGCAATTCAGGACAGGAACTCCCTGTATTGATTTTAAGCATGTTCCCCACAAGAGGATTCAACCTAATTTCTTAATGACAGGTTATGGTTCCCCAGCTACCTCTTTGACCAGAAAGCCAAGTCATCGTCACGGAACTTTCATCAACAAAATGTTGCGATACCAAGCTTGAGATCTTTTTTCAGTTTCGCCACAGCCAAACAAAGACAAGCTTAACAATAACACAGCTGTGAATTAATCACGTTTATCTACTTTGTAATTCCATACAGTACTATGAGTGTTAATTAACAAGATCAATTCTTCAAAAATGGCAACCAATCACTCCATAGCCATCCGGCAATGTGAGCATTGCGTTGACAGTGAAGGCAGGCGAGCAGGCACTTGTAAGCAAAGCCTCAAGGTGTAGGATTACAGAGTGTATTAGGAAAAAGATCAGCCCTGTGTAAATATTGTGCTCATTGACTTATAGAAGGTGAATCAGCTGAAAACAGAAATTAAGAGCTAAAAAACCCCAGTGGTAGATTTCTTACTGAATTTGAAAGTTAATATTGAATATGCTCTCGATACTTTTCCCCTGTCCATTGGATTTTCTGTTTTCATTGTCAGATTTCTCTGAGCTCTGGAAATATGTTCCAAGAATTGATTTGTGCTGGTGGAATGGCAGCAGGTGTTTAAAAGAGCCTCGGAAGAGTTAGTAGAGAGTAGAAGGACACTATCGAGCTGTAATATTCAAGGTATAGGACATTGTTTCCTCTCTTAAATCATTCAAGCTGTAAAAGGACATCTCTATTCCCTTCAGCTGTCCACAACATATTGTATACTCAAATAAAGCCCTCATGCCTCCCAATTGTATTTACGCAGCAAAGTACAAAACGTTTATTGAACTACTATTCATTTCTGAACCACATTTACAAATATTCACCAGAAGTACCTGTAATTGGTTCTCAGATAAAATGAAGCTGTGGAACAGTAATCAGTAAAAAACCTTTTCATAGCTATGAGCAGTAGTTTACTCTCCTGGCAAGTTTTCTTTCTTTGATAACTCTAGGCTGAAAAAAATATTCTCTATAACTGAAGTTGTGATCCACATTTAGTTGGGTAGTATTCTATTATATTTTATTGGACGTGTTGAACGCTGCTAATTTATGAATGACATTTATTATATAGGATATATTTGTATCCTAGCAGACTCCAGCTTCCATACAGTCTCCCTCGGTTTAAGTTTAGATCTTCATTACTTTATCCATCTGAATGCCATTTCAAATATTTCTGGAAGCAATTGACGCAATTATTGGAATATGCTTTTGAATGCGCATGGCACCATTTCACTGTTGATACAAACACGGGCATCTTCCATTTCCAGTCAGAGGCAAAGTGGGGTGCACCCATTAGGCTATTCCCCTTGGGAAACCAACCCATTTCCATTTAGGATGTCAAAAGATGTCCTACCAGGCGCTTCATGAAATTAGTGACAGGGCAGCTCCAGTGTCAGATTTGCCCTGCTGCTGACATGGACCAAATCATTTAAAGACACGTTTACTCTTACAGTGCATGAGCATCTTTTCACTGTATTAATAGCCTTTGGCAGGCACTTTGCATAATCTCATTATGTTGGCTTTTATCTGCTCTAAAGGATGCAGGGAAGGGCTGGGGAAAGATGACCGGTGAGTGGTGTCAACTACAGCATTGCAGAGACCCTCCCTCCTTGCTAGAAATGAGGAACTGGCGTGCGTTTTTTCCCCTAAAGAGCTGAACCGCATGTGTGCGAGAGACAGTGAGTTCAGCACCACAGCCCTTGATAGCTGTCGAGTCTGCCAAGCTGGCCTCTCCTTCACGGCTCCCAAGTGGGGACAGGGCACACAGGCAGACAGTCTTTCCCTCGGAAGAGGGGGACAAAGCAGCAGCTGGGTTTCTCCATACTTCTTCCTTAAGATCCTGATCCCTGGGAGCAGGGAAACGGGCACAGTCCGAACTCCGAATTCAGAAGTGAACCACCAGAACCAGAACTACAGACACATCGGCACAACGTTACATGGTAATCAAAGAAGGGCACCGATACTCACCCTCCTTGGATGACAAATGCTAAAGGTTATAAGGCTCAGGGTTTTGTTGCAATCTGTAAGCACTGCAATTGGATCTTTACATAGGTTTCATAGCAATAAGTGGCACTGAAGAGCTAGTACTGTAGTGCGTCAGATACTGTAGCTCTGTTCTCTTGGCTTTCAGGTCCTGGGTCCATTTTCAGATCTGTGTGGAGTGTAGATATTGTCCGGTTTGGTCCCACCTCCTTTGCTGGTGAATCTCGATTGGCTACTCCCACAAAAGGTTCTCAATAAAAACTGCCTGTGAGCAGGTCGAACCCTGGAGAATGTGCCGTCTGCCATGGTTTATTGATGGAGATATGTCACGGAAACAGAAACTTTTCATTTTCTGAGAGCTACACTCATAACCTACATTCCAAAGCTACTCTTTTCACAGAGAGGTGAAACCTGCTCTGGCACCACATGCACCACCTGTCTGGAAAAGCATCCTGTGATCGCGTACCAATCAGTTCTGTTGCCATTACTCCTCACTTTGATCACAGTGCACCCAGAAATAATTAACGTAATGTGGATAAAATGGCACCAATCTACTCAGTGTGGGGATAAGAATATCCCCCTCTAAAATCCGGTTTAGCAGTGCAGCTGGAGGGTTCAGAAATCCATACACGGGATGGTCCAACCAACATGTTCTGAAACTGAGTACTTAATACAAACACAAAGGCCCAGTTTGCACTTTATCTATATGAATCAAACAGATCATTTGGGG